CTTCATACGTTGGGGGGCCCCCCACAGGGGGCTCTACCGGTACCGAAGGTCCCAGCGGCCAAGGCCAGATGACGCCCCCGTCCCCCATTTCAGCACACGCCTCGTGTGCCACGGGGAGCTTCCCTTGCGGCCCCAGCGCGCAAGGCCACATGGCGTTCCTCCGCACATGTTGGCGTCCCTCCACACATCTCGTGCCCCAGAGCTGGTGCACCAGATGTTCATGTGGGCATGGCCACATGGCCCTTTTCCCCGCCCAATTTCGGCACACCCTCCCGCGCTTCGTGGCCCCAGAGGGAGCTCCACCGAAGGCCCCAGTCCATCTATTCGCATAGTGCCCCCACGCGCCTTTCTGCACACCCATCATGCGGATCGTGGCGCCGAAGGGAGCTCCACCGAAGGCACATTGCGTATGCGGTTTGTTTCGGTAAACCCTCTATCGCGTCTTGGCCGCACTAGGAGATCCACCAAAGGCCGCTGTGGCAAAGGGAGTCCCCCCGCTCAGTTAAGCGTGTCTCACGTTCTGTGGCCCCAAAGGGAGTTCCACCGACGGCCTCAGTGGCAGAGCGCGCATGGCGTTCCCCCGCCCATTCCGGCACGCGTCTTACACTCTTCGCGCCCCTGGGAGTTTATGATGTGTCCGCGCGCTTGCCCCGCAGCCCCCTATCCGCACTGTCCTGCGGCGCGTATTGTAACAAGTTCTTGTTCGCATGAGTTTAATATGTTGGTGCGCGTTTAGGGGTTGGCTGGCATAAGTTCAACATGCCAGCGCGCATTTGTTTGTAGAGGTTGGTGCAAGACGCACATCCTACATTAACGCATGTGTTTCGCACATGGTTTTCTGACAGGGGTTGGCTGGGAAGGGAGAATCTTGGAAGGACCGTGCAGAGAAACATGAACCACCCAATGCGCAGAAGGTGGCGCATACGTCCGACCCAGGCGGGGGGGGGAACTTGTCCGAGTTTCCCCCAAAAGGGCTTGCAATTGGAGGTCTCTTACTGTATCTTACTTCCCGTCGAAGGGACTCGGCCCGTCTTCGAGCCCAGCGGCCCGGGCCCCGCGTGCTCGTTGCAGTCCGTTGCCGCACCATAGATTGTACACCACATCGTTCGCACCACGTGTGTGTGTGTGCATGTGTGTATGTGTGTGTGCGTGTGAATGCTTGGATCTGTATTCAGTCGCGCAGCTTAAGATGCAAAGCTTGCACCTTAAAGCTTGCACCACGCAGCTTGCACTATGTTAGCCAGCGTGGAACCCAAACCGTGAAATCTGGCAGTCTACGTATTGAAACCTAGGTTCAGCAACCGATGTAGCAATCTAGGTGGTGCGAGCGATGCGGTGCAATTTGTGTGGGTCGACGCCATGCAAGGCAATGCAGATCAACGTGACGCGTGGCAAAGCAACGCAAAGCCATGTGATGCGATTCAACGCAAGGCAAAACGCTGCGAAGCAACGCAAAGCAACGAATTGCAAATCAACGCATATCATTTCGAACCTCTGCAATGCAAGATATCGCAATGCGAAGGAATGCGCAGCAATGCATCGCAATGGAAGTCGATGCAATGTAAAGCAGCGCAAAGCAACGCAACGCAAAGAAATGCCAAGCAACGCAAAGCAGCACAACGCAATTCAACGCAATGCAAAGCCTCGCGTAGCAAGATAAAGCCAATGCAATGCAGTGCACTTCAATGTAACGCAACGCAGGGAAACGCAACGCACTGCAAAGTAATGCACTACATGGAACGCCAATGCACAGCAATGCAAAACAATGCAAAACATTGCGATTGCAATGCAATGCAGTGCGATTGTTATGCAATGCGATTGCAATGCAATGCGATGCGATGCAAGTGAAATGCAATGCGATTGAAATGTGAAGGGGAGATGCAACGGGGCGGCGACGACGGGCGGAAACGGGGCCACTGGGGCGGCGGACGGGCCTTTCATATGGAAAATTCGAGCGGCATCGGACCAGATCTGGGCCGCCGGGGCGGCAGACGGGCCCAGTTCCTTAGAAGAGGAGTGTAAACACTTCAGTGCAAACACTGTTTGAGGAATATAGCTTACTGTTAGCCAGCGTTGGCCTCAAACAGTGCGTTCTAGCATAAAATGTGCTGTAGTCTATGTGGTGCAAGTTGCTTGTGTTCAGAGTGAATCATCAATGTCACTGTTCGCGCAATCGCCCTACCCACCGACCCACTTTGCCAAACCCATGCGTTGGAAATTGCGATGACTGCTTGGCGCTGGCGGGCGCATCGCTGCGGATGCGCTAGCGCGCAGGCTCGGGCGCAGAGCAGCCAGATAGTCTGGCGCAACCGACGTGGCCGCGAAGGCGCTGCCTGCTGGGGCTTCCCAGCGCGTCCCGCAGGCCGCGCTGACGCGCGGGCGCTTCAGTACGAACCGGTGGCTCGGGCGGTCGCGGTATCATGGCGACGTCGGCAGCGGCAGACACGATGATGGTAGTAGCGAGGCTGGTGACGACGAGAAGGATGACGACGGCAAGGCCAATGACGGAGCAAATGCTGGTCACGCCGGTGATGATGATGGTGTCCACGTGTCGGCGACGAAGGTTTCTGGAAGGATTTCTACATGCGCGCGCGGCCGACGGGCGCGAGTGGCCCGCACATTTTTATTTCACAGGGATCGCCTTCCCCCTCCCAGCACTTGCGCAAGGACGCTCGAATGTTTCCGACACGCGCGCACGAGAGGCCTTTTTCGGTCGCATGTGATGGACATGTGGGTAGGCCGATGGATGTCATAAAACAAAACGCGCGCAAGTATGTCTGTTAAACCATGTTGCGCAACCATTGGATTATGAAGATGCTTCATGGACGCTCGACATCGAACACCTTCGGAGCCCTTGTTTTTTAGGGGGTTTTGCATGCGCGTGCGACGACGCGCGCGTGTGGATGTGGTCTGGTGTTTTGCAAGGCCTTCTTGAACACGGACGACGTTTGCCAAACGAGTGCGCGCGTAGTAACAGGGGTGATGGACACGATAACGATCCTTCCTGAGATGGTTGCCACCCGCAACGTGGTTTGTCCATGCGTGGTATCATGGCGACGCCCACAACGACTGACACGATGTTATCAGCAGCGATGTTGGTGTCGGGCGGCAAGGCCAGTTACAGTGCTGATGCTGTTCACGACTATGGCGATAAAAGGTGTCCGTGCGTCGGTGGTGCACGTTTTAACACCATGCCGACAAGCGCTCGCGGCCGCCGCGCGCGACTGGACCACATCTTGTTATTTAATAGAGATCGTGCCCCCCCTTTTCCCAGGCACGTGCGCAAGGATGTTCGAATCATTCCGACATGCGCGCGCGAGAGGCCCGTTTGGCCGCATGTGATGATGAAGATGAGTCGCCGATGGATCTTTCACAAACTTCCAAGAGCGCGCGCGGTGACTTTTTCTTTGCAAATCATGGTGCGGATCCGTTTTTTGTTTTTCCCTACCTAGGCTCTGCCTAGAAGGGTTCTTACTCGCTTTGCTTAATGGGCCGGGCAGTGGAACCCGCCCCGGGCGGTTCCCCCGGTCCCCTGGGAGCCAAGCAACAGCAAGAGCAAAGGTAACAGCAAACGCGCGGTTCCCCCAGTTGCGCTCCCTGGGTGCCAAGCACAAGCAAAAACAAAGGCAAAAGTGAAGGCAAAAGCGAAGGCAAAGCAAAAGCATAGCATAGCATAGCATAGCGCAGCATAGCATAGCGCAGCATAGCATAGCATAGCCTAGCCTAGCCCAGCATAGCATTGCGCAGCATAGCATAGCATAGCATAGCATAGCATAGCGCAGCACAGCATCCACTATTGCTGCTACAACTACGAAGAGGAGGAGAAGGAGGAGGACGGCGTTTACCGCTCCTACTAATGTTGCTTTCCTAGAGGCTCCAACTCCTAGCTAGGGTCGCACTGTGAGAATTCGCGCACCCGATTTTGACATCCTTGCAGAAACCATGGTTGTTTTGTCGATTTCCAGCGCGCGCGCACGACGGCGCGCGTGCGTGTATTTTGGCACTTGTTTTTGTTGGGGGGGGCAAGGGGGTTTGACAATCTGTGTTTTTTTATAGATGCGTGAGTGCGCGTGCATGGTAGAGTTTGACTAGGGGGCGAGCTTGGCTTGGATGGCACGAGTTCATGTAGAATTACCGGTGGGGCAGGACTTTACGTACATGGCAGTGCGCGGCGTTGGCCCGATAATCCGTGGGAGGGTGGAGATGCGAAACCCTTTCTGAAGGAGAACGGTGTGGTGGCATACATACGGTGTAAAATATGTTGTGCGCGCAAATCGGTGCAACGCAGCACGAATAAAACAATGCAAATCGATGGAATCCAACGCAGAGAAAACATAACAAGTCAACGAAACGCAAAGCCATGCCAAACACTGGAGAACAATGCAAACATTGCCAAGCAATGCCAAACGATGCAAAGCAATGCAACGCAATGCAGACCAACGCGAAGCCACAGCAACGCACAGCAAGGAGACGCGGGCGGTGACGAGGCGACGACGGCGCGGCAACGGCTGCGACACGGCGGCCAGACCGACGGGCAGGCCCAGAACGACGGGCGGCGATGAGGCGGCGATGGGGCGGCGGCGGCAGCGACATGGAGGCCAGAGCGGCACGCAGGCCCAGGCGACGCGTTGCGACGAGGTGGCGACGAGGCGGCGGCGGCGGCTGCTACAGGCGGCTACATAGCCGCTGGACCGACGCGCAGGCCAAGTTGCTCAAACCATGAGTAAGAACCCTTTAGTGCAAGCACTGTTTGGGGAATATAGCTTGCACCACGTAGTTTGCACTGATAGCTGGGCCTGCCTAGCTTGCACTCTTTATGCCAAGCAGCTTCTACCATACAGCGTTGACGTCTCCAGTCCAAGTTCATATCATTCGGGGTTCGCGATGGCAGACTTTGTTTAGGAATGGAAATTCCAGGCTGAGGGTCAGGGTGCTAGGGGTTGGGCTTGGGTGTGCAGGGTTAGGACCATGGGGAGAGGTAGGTGCGCTCGGCTCCCAAGGTCGGCGTGGTGGCGTTCCGCCGCATATGCTGTCCGTCTTCCGCAACAAGCGAGCCGAGAAAGGCGGCACACAGGGGCCGGATGGTGACCCCAGGGCCGACCAGGCCCCGCATCCCCGCCGCATCGGGGCCCGAATCTTGAACGACGACGGCGTCGGCGACGACGACGAGGAGCAGCGAGGAAGGGCGCGGAAGCGGATGTGGCCCAGGCCGCATTGGCATTGGCTGGCTCTTGTAAAAGGAAGGAGTGGGGCGACAACCACCGCCAAAAACGCTAGGATGGGGTGCAGGAAGGAGGGTGGTGTGGGGGGGCGGAGGCATGCACCACCGTGAGTTGCGCGGCGTGCACGCAATGCCGTACGGCACACTGCCCGTGTTGCCCGCGAGCGGTTGCTTGGAAAGTCACTTTCGTCCAAGACACGACGGATGTTCGTCATACGTTGTTCCCCTCTTCGCCTGCACTGATGGGCCCATTTTCCACCACCATTGCCACAGGTAGGAGAGGGAGGAGGAGACGGAGGTGGAGGATGAGGACGAGCAGGAGGAGGAGGAGGAGGAGGAGGAGGAGGTGGAGGACCTCCTCTTACTCCCTTTTCCCCCGTCCTACATATGGGAGTGGTGGTGGAAAAGTTGCCCATCACTTACGCGAAAGCAACATTTACTGGTACAGCCTTCCGAGCTTCACGACCAATTGCAGCCGCCCCCGAGTCAAACCGATCACTCCACGCGGACTCAGGAGCACCCCTCTCATGCTATCCCCGACCAGAACTCCACGGGATCCACGGGATCCGAAAGCTATCCAAAGCTATCCGACCGAAACTATTCAGCGCTCCCACGCACGTCGAAACTATCCTACACGGGAACCATCCCCCTCGCCACCCCCCCGCAGGACAGCTCATTCCTACCCAACCCCACGCGATCGCCCCACCCCTCCCCCAACACGCTTGTTGAGCAACTTTGAGCATCGTCGTCGTCCATTGGCCGAGTGCACGTTTCCTGATGCTGCCGCTGGCCCGTCGTCGGTTGATCGCTCTGGCCGCCCAGGGCAGGCAAGTGCCTTCCGGCACCGATGCCCTCCAGACGCCAGGCGGGACTGCCGCAGGGCCACCGTGGTGGACCATCATCTGCCAAGATGAAGAAGCCAGTGGCATCGGCAGCGGAGGGGAAGCTCCAAGGGGGGTGCCCGACCCCCCGTCGCGCCTTCATCGCCGACAGGGGCCTGATGGCCACCCCCACGTCGCCCAGGAATGGGTGGCTTCGCTGTTGGGGGCCTGCCGCCGATCCATCGGCAATGTATCGCCGACGATTGCAGCTCGACGTTGCCCCCCCCCAAGCAGGTGCCCCCCCTCTCGTTCCCCGTCAAGAATAGGGGTCCCGCAGGAGGGGTTTCGCCCTTCTCGGGCTGTCCCTGGTGCTTGCTCCCGATGGAACAAGGGGCTCGTTGTTATGGCCTCCTTCCCTCAGGCCACGTGGGTCGGAGGTTGACGGAGCGCATGCTCTCGGTGCTTCGAGAGAAGCGATTCGGCGGTTATTCTTTTGCAGGGCGATTCAGCGAATCGCCGCCTCTCCGTCCTCGAGAGGGTGCCGAGGACGCCATGTATGCCGGCATGTGCCCGCTGGGTTTGGTCCTGGGGCTTTTTCATGGAATAGTGTTGCGCTGATGGCCCCCCCCCATGCGCGGCCGTCTCGTCTGTCCTCTCCCCGCTCCTGCACGCTGGCCACTTCGCTTCCCGGTGCCCTCGTTTAGCTCCAGCGTTGGTCAGCCAACTCTGCCTCGCCGCCGAAAGAAAAGTGTTTCGCTATAGCGGGGGTGTCGCTCCACCCCCTGATGGGTGTTGGGTAGTGGCTCGTGTGTGCAGCATCATCTCCCCGTGCGGGCGCTGGCCGAAGCGTCGACGGATCCTCCGTGTTCTTGCGTCGGGCAGATGTCCCCTTGCAGGAGGAATGTTTAAGAACAACACGAGACCATGTGGGAACGATGTTTCGAACATGCTCGGATTATTCCCTTGCGCAGCTGTGTTCTAGAGCTCGGACCTCTTTATTTTCGTTCGTCGTCGTCGTTCGTTCGTTCGTTCGTCGTTCGTCCCCCCCCCCCCGGCCACGGAAGGAAACTCCTGGAGGAAGGAAGCGAAAGCCTCCTGTCCCTCGCAGCTCCTTCGTGCAAGAGCCAGGGCACGCGTGACACTTGTTTTGGAGTATTATTTGACTTTCTGCTTATTTCCCAAATCCTTAGGAGGACACGCCCGACCGAACCGTGGTCTTGTCGGGGTGTTGTTGTCCGCGCTCTTTTGGCAGAACGCGCTGGGTTCGGCAAGATCTGGGGCTGGCTACCCCCAGCCGACGCTCCGCGAGATCATTGGGGGCACGCCTCCAGGTCGGCCGGCATGGGTGAGTCTCAGGCGTGGGCCTCACCGTGCCACTGCGACCCGCCTGGAGATTGTTTGTTCCTCTGGCGCATAACAGTCGTTGACAGACCCCCCCCTTGAGTAACAGTGACGGAGTAACGATCGTACGTGGGGGGCTGGGCCCTGCCCCCGCATGCTGGCGCTCGCTCGCATACGCTGGCGATCGCAGCCCCCCCCGACGTGCCGTGCCTAACCCTGCCCAACCTTGACCGTCACCCAGGGCACCCTAACTAACGACCGTGACCGGAAGTGATCAAAAGCATGATCTCTGGGTAACGACACGTCTCCAGATCGGCCGGTGAGGGGGAGTCTCAAGCGAGGGAGCAGATCCTGCCCAATTCGCGAGGTCTTCCCGAAGGCGGTCGGGTCCTGCCACTGCGAGCCGCCGGGGAATTGAATTTGTTTGGTCCTCTGGCGCGTCAAGGTCGTAGCTTGGGTCCTTTCCACTTCCCCTGCATGGGGTAACGGTAGCGATCGTACGAGGGGGTGGGTGGGCTGTACCCCCCCCTCACATTCTGGTTCTCGCACGCATGCTGTGGCGATCGCAGCGCACCCCCGCCCTAGCGTACCCGACCCCGCCCAAGCGTTACCAGCACCGGCAATATCGAGAAGACACATTCCCGCACAGATGATCCCCGACACGTCGGCACGTCTCCCGATCGGATCGGATGGCATGGTTGAGTTTCAGGCGTGGTCACAACAATCGGTCCTACCATGATGCTACACACGCGAGGCTGCTGCCAGCGCAGCCGCTGGTGGTGATTCCCCTGCGTACCGCGCACTCCGACCCGTGGAAACATGGTGTTGCATTTCTTGCAGCTGCTGGTGGAGTGCCTCCCCCATGGCTTCCGCTCGCGTTGTAATGATCGAGAAAGTCTGCGGCGGGAGGTCGATTCCTGAGTAAGTTGTGAGGACGTCTCGGAGGAATTAGGAGCCTTCGGTGGGTGTCTCTGAAAGCTTTCCCTGGGGTTCTCGGAGCTCCCGGGGAGCAGCTCGGAGCTCCCGGAGAGCCTCCTGGATCTCTCAGAGACTTCCCAGCCCCCCCCCATGAGCAGCAGCTGATGTTTGTCTCCCTCAGTTTATATCCTGCGCTCCCTCTCTGGCCGCTCCGCTTCCTCCATGCTTCACCTCTTTCTCAACCCTCCTCTTCCTCCACCTCCACCTCCTCCTTCTCCTTCTTCTCCTCCTTCTCCTCCTCCTTCTCCTCATCCTCCCTCTTCTCCTCCTCCTCCTCCTCCTCCTCCTCCTCCTCCTCCTCATCCCCCTCCTCCTCTTCTCGTCCTTTTCCTGCGCGTGCCTCCTTTCCCCGACGTCCTGTCAGAGCCCCCGTCTCGCGGACAGACGTGGGCCCCGTCTTCCGCCTGCGCTTCCCTCTCCCCCCTCCTCCGACGTCTCATTGGGGTGCGACGCGCTCCCTGGTTGATATTAACCCCTTCCCCAGCAGGGCTGTGTTTTGCACCCCAGGGCATTCATGTTGAGGGCCCCGGGGCCAGCGCGACGGCTGCTCGAGGCCGAGAGCGCCGAAAATCTAGACGTGACACTGTTGGTTGCGACGCTCGTATTTGAGGGTCCAGGGTGAACGTTTGGGCGGGTGACGTCCTGGTCGGTCTGGGCCACCAACTTGGCCGCGTTTTCGTGCCGCTTATTTGGACCACCTCAGGCACACACACACACAAACACATACGCACACACACACGCACACACACACACACGCACGCACGCACAGTATTTTGAATAAGTGATGATTCGCAAAGACCATTGTTAACGTAACAATCCGGAGGTCCGTGCGGATATTTCGGATCGGCGTTGTGTCCCCCTCCGTGGCGCGGGGAGCGCACCTGGAGGCGCCGCCGGGGGGCCCAGCGCAAATCCGAGAAATCCGGGCAGGCCTCCAGAAGTTCATGTTTCTACTGCTTTTTCTCGCCTTTTTTCGCGAAGTTCTCCACCACCAGACGTAAAGTATAACCGAATGCGGGCGTTAATAAAGTACCCCCCCTTTCCCCCGAATGTTCTTTATCTCTGGCCAATAGGATTTGATCGTGGAGGGAGGCGCGGAGGCCGAACTTTATAATACACGGGAAATTTGTGGAGATCGAAGTTGCTATCATATCATGTTGACCTAGCAACAGCATCTGAAACGTTGAGCCTGTCATCGTCAGCATTATCCTCATCCCGGGGCACATCCTTTCTTATCCCCGCGGGAAAAAGAGGCTTTCTTATCCCCGGGGTTTATTATCGCCCGCACATGGCTACCGTTCCTTACGGGAGCAAGACGAAGTATCGATGCAGCTGCTCCCTGGACATCTCCTGGGGTGCGTTCTGACTAGAGTTTGGAAGCTAGACAGTCTTGGCGGCGAGGAAGGGGTAGTGGTATGGGCATGCGCTCCCCATCAGAATTCGACGAGCCTTTGTAGAAGCTAAACGACGCACCGATGCCGCTACTCCCCGGACATCTGGGGTGCGTTCTGATTAGAGTTTCGAAGATAGCCAGCCTTGGCGGCGAGGAAGGGGTCGGGGTATCGATATATGCTTCTCCTCCCAATGCGTCGATTTCTGCCGGCAGCAAAATGCAGTAACGACGCCGACAATCCCTGGACATATCCCGGGGTGCGTTCTGACTCGCGCTTCGAGGAGAACCAGCCTTGGCGACGAGAAAGGGGTAGGGGTATCGGTACGCGCTCCTCCTCTGAACGCGTCGATTCCTTACTGGAGCAGAGCGAAGTCCTGATGCCGCTGCTCCCCAGACATCTCCTGGGGTGCGTTCTGACTAGCGCTTCGAGGGAAACCAGCCTTGGCGATGAGGAAGGGGTAGCGGTATCGGTGCGTGCCCGAGCAAGCTTAGCCAGCGAGTTGACACTGAGGGTCGGCAAAGTCCTCGGCAAGCCTTCTTTTCACCTCGTGTCACGCACCCTCACAGGGCACGGCAGGAGGAAAGCATGGATCTTGGATCGTGGTGATCGCTGTGATCAGCCTCTCGTTGTCGGTATGTGTTCCTCCTCCCAGTGTTGCCGACGAGCTCCTCCACCCCCCCGCCCAGGGCGGTCTGGAGCCGAGAGAGCGGAAGAAGAACAAGTCCAAGGCCTTGTCGGGGAGGGCCTCCGGGTGCCGCCCCCCTGGCGCTCCCAGGGGCGGGGGCCTGGTCGGTCCCATGCCTCGGACGTCTGAGGCTCTCTTCCGCCGTTGTCCACCTTCTCCCGCTCCTCCCCCTCACCTCCTCCCATTCCCCCCATCATCCCTCCTCCCTCCTCCCTCCTCCTCCTCTTCCTCCTCCTCCTCCTCCTCCTCCTCCTCCTCCTCATCCTCCTCCTCCTCCTCCTCCCCCTCCTCCCCATCATCTCCCGCTCACCCCTCCTCTTCCTCCCCTCCTCCTCTCTCCTCCTTCTCCTCCTCTCCTACTCCTACTCATCCTCCTCCTTTCGCGTCCTCCCTCTGCTCCCTCATCCTCTTCCCTCCTCCTCCCCCCTCCTTCCCTCCCTCCCTCGTCATACCCGCGGGACGCGCCGGCCTCGTGGCGCGCCATGCACAGAATGTGGGTCAACCAGTCCATAAAACTGGAGACTACTCTCCTCTCTCCCTCCGCGTCCCAGCAGTGTCCGACCCTCTCCATGTATCATTTTGGGTCGGAGCGTTTTCAGAACGTCCAGATGGTTTCTCAAATGGTTGTCCCTATTGCTTTCAGTGCTTCCCAATGGTGTTCCCATTGCAACATCACCTCATTTCAGTGTCGTCGCTCTGCCCGCGTTGGTCGGAATGGCGCTCTCGCCCAGGCTCGGGCCGCTTTCTGGGCTCCGAGTCCTTCCTCATCGTTGCCGCCCCGCTGCCTGCCCCTCCCCCGCCCTCCCCAGGTCATCCTGCTCCTCTCGCTCCTCCCACTCCAGCTCCTGCTGCTGGCCCTCCTTGTCCTCATCCTTCCTCCTCCTCCTGAGGCCTGCGATCCCAATCAACACCACGGAGGAACCTAGATGCTCTACTGACTGTTCGGGCCTGATTAACTCGGAGTCGTTCCCAACCGTCTTTGTCCTTTGTCCTTGGTCCTCCTCCTCCTCCTCCTCCTCCTCCTCTTCCCTTCGCTTGGCTTGTTTACCAGGCCCACCTTGCGGGCGGCCGCAGTCACCCGAACCCGCCCCTTATTTTGGTCGCGGGCTCGGCCTGGGGTCCACGGTGAGTCCGTGGCGCCGTGGCGTTGCCTACCTATGGAGCTGCTTGGTTTTCCTTTAGCTGCAATATTCGTAGCTGTAGGTCTGTATGTCTTTTTCTCCTTTCGTGCACGTGGAGCCTGACTGCTGTGATCGTGCTGTCCGTTCTCCCTCTCCCCCTTCCCTCCTCTCTTTCTCTATGTGTTTGTCTCTCTTTCTCTCTCTCTCTCTCTCTTTTTCTTCCTACGTCTTGGAAACTGTCTCGTAGTCGCGATTTGGCACTTGCACTCCTGGTGCGTGTGTTCTGCTAGCCACTCCACATTCATGCGCAAGGCGGTGGAACCGTCCATGGCGGTGTGTGCACACAGCTTAGAGACTGCCTCGAGGCTACGCCTGTCCTCTAAATTGGTTTGTTTGGCTATATGTTTTCTCTCTCGCTCTCTCTTCCTCTCTTTCTCTCTCTCTCTCTCTTTCTCGGTGGCTCTTCTTTGTTTTGCAGCTGCTCGTCCACGACGGTCGGTTGTGTGTTCTATTCAAGAACTCACGCTGCGCTTCACCATCGCACCGCGGCGTCTCACCTGGAAGATGGCAGCTGCTTGCGGGGCTGCTCGGCGTGAGACAACAGCCTCCCTCGGGAACAACTGTAAAAGTACCCCCCCCGCTGTTCTTGGGGGTTGCCTTTCTATTGCTTTGGGCAGACGGATAACAGCTGGGGAGGGCGAGTTTGTGCTTCTAATCGTCCCCCCGCCCCCCCGCCAGAGCTTTTTTGGCGTTACCTCCCCGTCGTCATCCCGTCGGTCGTCATCCCATCGTCGTCGTCGTCCGTCGTCGTCGCCCAAGGACTGTAGTACGCCAGCGCAGCCCCCCCCCTTCCACCATCTGCCATCCGCAAATGGCCGTCGTCGTCGTTGTCGTCCGGCGTGTTTGTCCCCTGGGCCTGCAAGAACGCCTTCGCAGCGCGCGCAGACACAGACACAGACACAGACACAGACACAGACACAGACACAGACACAGACACAGACACAGACACAGACATACACATACACATACACATACACACACACGCACACGCACACGCACACGCACACGCACACGCACACGCACACGCACACGCACACGCACACGGACACGGACACGGACACGCACACCCACACACACACACACGCACACACACAGAGACACACCTCGTTGCCGTTGCTGGCCGTCGCAGTCGCCCCCTGGAACTGCAAGACGCCTGTGCAGCACCCCCCTCTCAC